TACCCCTCACTATTTGGTACATGGGTGGGATCCGAGATCGACACTGGAGGCTACACTGCCGGTCGGATGTACGAGACGACGAGATCGAGACGCGCGGCGGTGGAGATACCGAGTTCAACGTACTATCAGCAATCCCGAGAGCAAGTCAACGCAAGATTGAGGGAAGTCCTAGCAGATCGGGCTGACCGATGTCGGATCGCACCAGATCGACGCCGGATCTCGCATCTGGTTGTACTTAGATCGAGTGAAGGAAGGATACGCGCGGAAATTGGCTCACCTATGGCCGTTCCGGGTCGCTGAAAAGATCAACGAATTCAGCGTCAAGCTCGAGATAGCAGGCACAGGGTACCAGATCTTCCCAGTGGAACACAGTGCACGTGTCGAAGTTGAAATTGGTCAAGGATTTTCCGGATCGGCCGCGAGTGGAACGTACGGTAGATGAGGCGGATCGTCTCGATTTCGACGAGATCCTGCTCCAGGAGGACATTTGGGTCCCGGATCTAGGGGCCGTTGAGTATGAGGTCGAGCGGATTTCTGATGTGCGGAGTGGGAAGAAGACACGATTTGGTCGGATCTATCGAGAATTCCTGGTTCATTGGGCGGGATATGATGAGCCGACCTGGGTCGACGAAGCCGAGCTCAACTGCGGGGCAATGTTGAACGCCTTCCTTCGAGAACGGGTCAATCGGAATCGCTTCAATGTGATGCAATCACATGAAGAGATGTAAGGAGTATGGGGGAGGTTACCCGATCGCCTCGGCCCCGAGGGAACATCGGCCAGAAGGACCGAGATCGGGAATTCATGTTGTATATATGTATCTAACGTCGTCGCAAGAGATCGTGGAAGACAGAGCGATGAAGAAGGAAGATCACTTGAGAATGGTCGAGAACAGAACAAACGAGCAAAAGATGTGGCTGAATTAGGAGATTACAAGATGAGAGTGGGGATGAATCGAGGATGTTGGGAAGAAAATCGGAGATCTCAGAAGTGGACGATGATTGGAAGCCGGATCGGCGATCATGGGGTCGCCGGAGGGGCAGCCGGAGGTGCTGCCGGAGGGGCCGCCGGAGGATTGAACTTGTTCACGAGGCGAGGGATATTTCGCGACGGGTGGACAGAACCGGGATCACGGAAGTGATTCCTCAAGGGATTCGTTTGATCGCACTCGAACAGGGCCGTGATCAGGTCGGTCGGCTCGTGGAGATTCGCGGTCGGTTGTGCGAGATTAGCTGCCCGGGACC